ATATATATATATATATATATATTCAAACATGTTTCATTAAATAACATAGATATATTGTTTATTTTATAATAATCCTTTCTAGTTCTCTAATTAGCTTTTTGATAAGTTGAAATTCTTCAAGGAAGGTGCCAAAGTTTTTGTTAACCCAAGTACTTTTAATCTCCTCCGAGATCACCTTCAGGGGAATATTGTAAAGACGAGCTTATTGTAACTGATCATTGTGATGGTGACTTTAGAAAAGGCACATGAACACACTCTGTTATAATTATTTTAAATTTATCAGTTGTAGCTATGGTGTTTTTCAAAACAAGTGTCCCAGTGTAATATATATAAGTGCATTTCTTGCCTCATTTGATTGTAATACACAGAAAAATATTTGTGAATATGAAAGGATTCTGCTAAAAATAAGCAAAGTTTTTAATTTATTTAATCAGACATGCCTAAAAGAGAATTTTCTGCCTAAATACAATATATATATATATATATATATATATATATATATATATATATTATATTATATATGAAGAAATATAGTTTTAAGGTATACTATATTTATGGGATAAAGTGCTCAATATCAGAGATAGAGCATATGTAAATATAAAAGTGAACATTAGAGTCAACATTCAGAGGTGACAGATTGTTTCATGCTAGACACAATCATCAGGCCACCTGATGTGCTTGTTCATTCTGAATGCTTTTGGTTACATATTTTTAAAAATGATTTTAGTTTTATTCCTGTAATAAATGAGATGTAATTGGCTGTAATTAAGAATAGCTTCACTTTTCAGAAACTTTTAGACTGTCTAAAATAGCACTTATACTACTATAATAAAATGGTACATAAGTAGTCTTTGAAAATTGTGAACATATTGACTGAAAGTGCTCAGATGAACAATTTCTATATTCATTAAGTCCAGAAAAGAAAACACCCGTTTGCTTACAAGAGAAATATAATAAAAAAAGCTTAAAAGAACAATGTCAGTGTTGTTTAACAAAATCTGTATCAAAGAGGAAATGCTGTCCAAATATATATATATATATATATATATATATATATATATATATATATATATATATATACACACACACACAAGATTTTTATTGCTGGTAATATCTTTTTTTCTTCAAAAATGTATTGTTGGTAATAATTATTTACAAAAATGTATAGCTGGTAATATTTTTTTCACCAAAAATGTATTGCAGGTAATATTTATTTTCTTCAAAAATATATTGCTGGTAATAATTTTTCCTTAAAAAATTTATTGCTGATATTAAAACCTATTTTTACACTTTCACAGTGCTTTAACCCTAGTTTGTGAGGGGGAGTAACTATTTGCCCATAGTTGGGATTCTAACAGGTGCTATCACCCCAGGTCAGTGTGGTTCCATGCTTCTCAAAACCTCTTGATTAGAAGCCTTACTGTTGGATGTAGTTTATCATCCTACCCAGGACAATATATTTTCCTGGCATTTCAACTTTTTCCCATTGATGTGGTTTCCCTGTCTTTTCTATAAATATTTTCATGGCAATTGTTCTGATGAGCTTTCATCCCTTATACCTTGACCTCATGAACTTAAGCATGCTACTAAATTAGCAACTAGGTCTCATTGTTTTACCATTGAACAGCTAGATTCAATGTAGATTCTATTCTAATAGTTTCTTATGTTGTATTTCTCACTTGTGGCACTTTTTTCTTGCTTCTTACTACCCTGCCACCTACAATCTTCAAAAATTTAAGTGCAATGCCAATTGCCATTTTCTGTATTCCTGAAACCTATTCTTTTATTGTCTTTTCTCTTCACTAAAGTTTTCTCATTCTCTTTCACTCCCAATAACCCCTGGCATCTTAGTAGCATTATGGGCCTGAATATAAGCCAGAATAATTATGGGAGAAGTATTTGGGAAATGAGGGTCTCTATCATCCATTTTCTTTCTTTTCCTGGGAAGATTTACAGATGCAAAATGTCATGAATGTATACTTAAGTTTGTTGCATACCTTAAAGTTAATTCACAGGAAGATTTTATATTAGTGGAATGAGTGTTCTTTAGAGAAAGTGCTTAAAAACAGATTTTAAAAAAAGCATACACATTTATTACAACAATTAAGAAATCTATCCTTATAGTATTATAAAAGTTTTTTTAACACTCTCAAAAGAATTTTTTTTTATGAAATCTTTCATTATTTAAAAAAAAATTCTTTTAGAAAAAAAAAATGCAATTTATTTTAAACTTGATATTTTAGAATTGTAGAGTCTGTAGTGGTAAGCATCAGATGGTAAAATAAAACAGTAGGCATTTGAACCAAATAGTCATAAAAATATTTTATTAGTTATAATCAAAGCATAAAATAATAAGAAATCTCATCTATTAATATAAAAACTTTTCTGAGCAGTTAGTTAACAACATGTAGAATAGAATCAGCGAAACAAATCCAAATTTCTACCATGTCAATTTTGCACTAATGCTCTTAGAAAAGAGATGAATATCTATCTCTCCCTGTTCCCAACTGTGTGTTAAATAGTTGAGTAGACTGACCTCTCTAGTCTTGGATGTCAAAGAGGACTACTCTGAATTCAGAATTGGGAATAAAGCAAGAAAAACTTCTTTACCATCATTCTGACTTCTTCAGAAAGACAGTGAAGTGGTTTTTCTTGCAGTTAGAGTCAAACATAATAGACAAGATATAATTTAGTGAGATTGTATTTCAAGTAGACAATCTCCAAATAAGGCATTATACTGTCTATATACAAAAATCTAATATGCTTTTAAGAGATGGGAGCAACCTTATTGAAAAGCAACCATTTTACTGAAAAAGGAAATACATTATCAATTTATTGCCAATACATTTACATAAAGACTAATATAAAATTAGGAAATAAATAGCAAAGCTCAATTTACAAGATGAATCTTTGATATTCTGCATGATCCTTGCTGTGTTTGAATGTTTCCCTTTTAATAATAAGAGGAAGAAAATATATTCTGCTTCTTTAGACTTTATGCTTTCTGGCCAAGAATCTGAGTATTAGAACTTCATTCAGCCCAGTCAAGATTTGAACCCCTGACCTAGAGGTAAGCAAATAAATGGCATATTAGGCCAAATTTTATGATTTGAATCTGCAATTATCTTGGAAATATAAAGTTTTCTTCCTTTTAATATTTGTGCAATTATTTGAAGTAAGTACTTAAATTTATTTAAACTCATTTAAAATGAAAACTAAATTTAAGACATCAATATTACTGAAAACATAATTGACTAATTCAGAATATATATATATATATATATATATATATTTATATGGAATGTTGAAATCAACTATATGTTTTCAATCAAAATGTTTTATAACCTGAACTGTCAGTTACCCAACAGCTCACAGGTAGTCTAGTATTAATTAAAGTCAGACTAATGCCCTCAGGTTTCTTTTTGTACGGAACTAAATTGTTTTGTCATTAATCCACCATTGAGATGTTTTAGTTATGCACTGTTTGTACAAGAGAGTACTGGAAAGTTCTTGGGCCAACCCACTTTTTGAAATTGGATCAAATGGCTAATCAGATTTATTTTGGAAGGGCATCTTCATCAGGTGAAGAACTTTTCAGACACCCACATACATAAATGGCTCACCAAAAATTATGATTAGTAAGGTTATGAGAACTTTTTTCAGCACCCTCTAGTGTTACAGAAAAATTGAACAGAAAAATACAAAATCCAATCCCCATTTTTTTTTTGCATGTAATTCTTCAGTGCACACATACTCCACTGATCCTGGGCAAAAGTGTTAAATGTGATGTAAATAGATCAGTCATTTTTGACAGGCACTATGATAATATTTTTTTTTTTAACATGTTTACTCTAAAGCTTTCACCTTATAAGTACCAAAAGGGAAGAGTGACTGTTTAAAATGAAACAAAGACAATCGTATAACTACCAAACGAGGTTCTGAAAGGAATCTCTTATCAAAAGACTTATTGGTAGCCAGTTGGCAAAATAAAAGCCTCTGGAGAATCAAAGGCAATTTTTGGTTGCTTCCTGTTAACCTGCAGACAAGAGAGAATAAGATATTCTTTCTTCCAGACCCAAAGGAAAATACTTCTGTTACTCTATCCTTCAAACAAGTACTTGAAAAGTCAACAGCAATATTTATTTCAAACAGAAAAGTATGCCACACTTGAAACAGAAAAATCCTAGCAGCTGAGGTGGACAGCCTAAAGCCACCATAAAGATGATACAGGCTTGAAAGTTTTTCAAAAGAAATATTTCACAGCAAAAGAAACCTTTTGGCAAGAATTCCTGATGATTATTACTTTCTTCAGGTGTGTCATAGATGGCAACATTCCAGGAAATTTTGAACACAATCTTTTACTCAATCTGTAGAGTAGATTGTTCTCATTCTATTCTCTGTGCTAGTGAAATATTCATCAGTTCAGTTGAATTAAAATGACTTTTCTTGCAAATATTCTGGTTCAGTAGAAGAGAGACAAAATGTCACAAGGACAAATTAACTAGGAAGAATAAACAGATATGAGATTTTCTTCAGCATGACAAGTGGTCTGTGAATTTATCCCCAGTTGATTGAATAAAGGGTTTAGTTTGAAATTCTTAGCTTATCAACTATGATAAAATGTTAAAGAGTTCCAGAGGGTACAATGGCTGACACACATGAATGATAACCTTGTATATAATAATTCCTCATTTCAGATTACTTGAAACCAAGTAATACTAGAATGATGAACAGACAGATTGTTTGTTGGTTATCAACTTCTATAGGCTATTGCTGAGATGCAAATATTTTGAATGCAAATTTATTTTTTGGAGATAATAATGGTTTTAGTGATACAAATCTTACTAATTAACCTATAGATGGGGGACAAGAGATGGATTCATACCTTTCCTAAAGATATAGGTGTGTAAGTGAATATAATGAATCCAACTGGAATTGGAACTTGGCTACCCAATTAGCAATTCTGAGTCATTATCCATTGCACCACCTGCACATCCAAGCTTGCAGCATCTGGTATTCCCAAACAGTCACCCATCTAGGTACTGACCAGGCTCAACATTGTTTAACTTTGATGATTGGACGGGAATCAGTGTTTCAATGTGATATGGCTGGAAGCGTTTGTGGATATATATATATATATATATATATATATATATATATATATATATATATATATATATATATATATATATATTGATTAAGGTATATTTAGGCAGTAAGTATTCATTCAAACAAATTTGACTAAAAAGATCCGAAAAGGTTGGTCTCTTTAATTTTTTATTTTCTGAATAAGGTGTTCAGTCTTGTGCTTGTAGTCATAATTAAACTGAAGTTCATATTTTGTTATTTTTCTTCCAGTACTTTTGCCTTTCACAGTCATTATCAAGAACTAATGTGGTGTCTGTGTAGTAGTTAAGCTTCCTTTGCCTGCATCCTGGTTTTCTTTGGGAAGTTGGATATTTGAAAAATACAATAAAAAAAAATTAAACAGATCTTTGTTGGTTCTTTTTAATCAAATTTGTTTATATATATATATATATATATATATATATATAGTGTGTATATAGGCAGCATTTTTTCATTGATGCATGTTTCATTAAATAATAGACAAGTTTTGTCTATTTATTTTAAGCAAATTCTTTTCATATCGCCTGATAAGCTTAATAAAATTATCATTGAAAGACGAAAGAAAATCACCATATTGATACATGTTTTTTTAATCCTATCTAAGTTTTCGGCTTACATAAGCCATCATCAAAGATGACAATTACATTACAATAAATTAAACAATACACAGACATAGCAACAATGATAGTCCGTTTTTGTTTGCATGGAAGATTTATAATCAATGGCAAACTCGTGCATATGAGACACTGGAAGCGAAAATTGCACTGCAGCCCATGATGTCACACATGACCATGCAAGAATGAAAATGAGAAGTATTAAGTATGGGAAGCCATTGATATAAACCAATGGCTTTTGTTATAAATTATAGGCATTGAAGTATATTTGTGGAGTTTTCATAGTTTATTTTGTTCAATTTAGGTTTCAACCGTTTTATGTATATAGCTTCAAGAATTCTTAGTTTTTGTTCGTTTTCATATTTAAGTATAGTTGTGTTTTCAACAAGCATTTTCTGGAATTGTGTATGCGGCCAGGCAGGTTGTTTTAAATGCCTAAAAATGTTAGAATTATCATTAAAATGTAGAGTCAAGCATCGTGAAAGCAAGATTGTGGTGTGACCAACATAAATATTATTCAATCTGTTGGAGATTGAATCTCCTAGAGGGCACTTAAATTTGTAAACTATATATATTTATTGTGTGTGTGTGTGTGTGTGTGTACGTACATACACGTATAGGTGTAAGGAAGTGTGGGTTGTATAGACATAAGTAGGTGTATAAGTTTATAGGCGGAGAGCACATATATGAGTGTGTAAATTAAAAGACTTTTTGCTGTTTTGATATCTAAATAATAACCACTGAACATCCCAAGGAGAATAAATATTGCAAAAACTTGAGTGCTTAAGCCCAGAGTTAGATGTTAGAACTAGTAAATATAAACTTATCAAGGCTTGCTGTCATATACTGAAATATATAAAATGATAAAATGTGATGGCTATAACTGAATACTTTTGTTAGAATTCCAGTGCAAGTCTTGCAATATGAACCCCTGCTTTTGGCAAATTTTTTGTGCTCCAAGTAGAATATGGTCAGTCAAGGTTAATGATTATACAAATATCAACGCACCAAAGAAAAATAAAAGTTGATCTGAATTTTTTTCTTCTTTTGTATTAAGTAAATGCAGATGTTCTAACAATGTATCCAAATATGTGAAAGATTTCTGTTCATTTCCCAACAGAATACAAACTGTGATGATTGCCAGAATTAATTAAAATCATCAATCATCTACAGAAGTGATAGAAGAGTAAGGTATTTGAAAATTAAAGAACACTAGTGGCTACAAGCAGTTTACTCTACAAAATATACATAGTAATTAAACATGTTGCTGCTTGTTTACCTAACATTTACAAAAGGAAAAACACATCTTTTAAAAAAAAAAAATAAAAGATTGAAAATTATTATACTCTAATATCTTTTCTACAGATGAATTGATGATTCTGATTGTGGAATTTGTTAAAACTATTTTACAAGACAAAGTAAGTGTTCTATTGAAATATTTACAAATTTTCGGTGGAGACTCCTTCGAGACTTTATATATGAAACATATGCCTATGTGGGGACACATACACACACACAAAGGCAGTCATGTACAGAAAATAGATTAAGTATATGCAGCAGTTTATTTCCCCTTTGAAGTGGCAATGTTCCAGAATAAATTCCACTGAGTGAAAGTGGTAGAATTGAATTCCAGACAGGAACTCACAACAAAATAAAGAATGAGATCAGTTGGGTTAGATGAGGGAAACAGGAAATATGAAAGAATGCCTCTTTTTATTAGTGTACCATTCCTGACATGAAGGAGAAGGAGAGCTCTGACTAAAAGACAACTGGTTTCACTTTCTTGCTTAAGATAATACCAGTGGCTCTTTTACTAACATTACTCAGGAATCATTAGAAATACAAATCGATTGAAATAAATAAGCAGTAAAATTACAATTGGCATCAATCATAAAGCACTGAAAAATATGGCTGTCAAATTAATCATCGTTTGTGTGTTTGAGCCTTAATGGGTGCTCCATTAATCCAGCCTTGTGCCATAACTGGATTCATCTAACAAGTGTCTACAAGTATTAGTTTAAGGTGTTAAATCATACAAGTTATCAGAACAATTTTTAATTGTAATAGTTACAACTTTGATTATAATCTTGTTCCTAATCTAGGTCCCCAGTGACAAATTGTCATTACAAATGTTCACAAGAATCAGTATAAACACATTGACTTATGAACAGCAAAAAAGTTCAATGACAAAAAATTATCTTTTTGCAAATTACTCAAATATAAACAGAGCAAGTTTATTCACCTATTTTTGCCTCTATACAGATGTTCATCCCCTCTTCCGAAGTGCAATTTTATTTCCAGTAAAAAGGTTTCAAATTTCCAAATCCTTTGCACAGAATTTTTTCCTTTTCTCCAGAGAATTTATTATCATGGAACAGGAAAGAATCAAGAGCAGTTATTTTGTTATTTTTCAGACAAAACAGATGAGTGGGTGGTGAAAGTCCTCAGCCAAACCAAGAAGAAAAAAAAAGAAAAGAAAAATGTTGTTTGGTCAGACTTTGTGAAGTATTTTGAGTAAAAAAAAAAAAAAAATAAAAATAAAAAGTAAAAAATAAATAAAAAAAATGCAAATAAATCCTTCCCTCCCCAAATTTATATATGAATCCTAAAGATACATGCTTGGATTTTTTACCAGACAATAAAAATGGAGAATTCTCAGTCTTATCCCCACATTTTTTTTTCTGTTTTGAAGTCAGAAGGCTATAGCCACTTGACTATATCCCTTTTGTGTACATACAGTATTTTTATTTTGTTTACTTTTTGTGTTATTACTGTCTTAAAGTTACTTTGCTTTTGACTTATATATATATATAATTGTTTTGTATTTTTTTTCCCTTCATCTTTTGTTATTGAGAATTTTGTCATTCCACTTAACCCTACTCATTTATTCTACAAATAAAAAATAAATATATATATATATATATATATATATATAAAAAAAAGATATTTTGTGTCAATTTTATTGATTGGCTTTTCTAAATATTGAAAAATCCTTCTCAGATAAGAAAAAATTCAATCAGAAATTACCCAAATTCATTTTGAAAGACTTTCTTAAGTCATCATCAGGGTAGACAGAAACAAATAGTGTGTTTTGTAAAACTGGTCAATGTCATTATGCAGGCAAAGTGTGTGTGTGTGTGTGTTTTTTTAAATATACATTTAAGGATGCCAATTCTTGAATTATAATTGTTTTTATTTCTAGATTGTTGTTTTTGTTGTATGAGTAATGCTTTGAGGATCATAACACAGACGCGCATCACACCTTGTTTACATCGTTACAATTACCAGTTCTACCAAACTCACTATTTGTCTTTACAGAAAGAGGAGGGAATATTGAATAGATAGTGTATCAAATAAGTTTATGGACATTTAGTTTTGTTTCCACTTTGTAAAATATTTACTAATTGTTTTGTTTAATAAAGATACACAAAATATTTTGTAATGTGAATTATTGAACACACTATATATATATATATATATATATATATATATATATATATATATATTAGTAGTATTCAAAATAAAAGAACAAAAATTGAAACTTTGATATCTTAAAAATATACAAGTCCAATTTTTCTTAAATTTTCACTAAATGTAAACAAATAGCAGTTCAGTTGTGCTTTAAATCTGATACAGGGAGATCTATGATTCATTTAATTTTTTACTCAAATGTCAAGTGTCCAAAATTAAGGAAAAAAAAAAAAACAAAACAATTTTTTTAATAAAAAATAATTGGACAAAAAAATGAAAAAAGTTTTATCAATATTTACTGCCAAGACATTTGTTTTGAATCACTGCTGCACATCAGCATCTACAGGATTTCACTAAATTTTGATGTTCACCAAATGTAATTTTAGCTCATTCTTTCTGTAATTTTTCCCATAGATCTTTCACATTTGATGGATTCCTAACCATTTCATTTTATCCTAAAGTCTTCCCTAAATTTTCTATGGGAGTAATATCAGGAATGAGTTGGCCAATCCATAATGTTTCTATGGGAGTCATGTCTGTGAGTTGGCCAATCCATAACATTTCTATGGGAGTCATGTCAGGACTGAGATGGCCAATCCATAACGTTTATTCCTTGGTCATTCAGATAAGCAATAACATGTTTTGTTTTATGGCAGAGAGCATTATCCTGCATAAACACAGAATTTTTAAACCCAGAATTTTGTAAAACTGGTACATGTTCTTCTAACAAATTCTTGTACATAACAGCATTAACTCTTCTGTAAGCATACAAGAGGTGATGTAACCAAACTTGAAAACCTGCCAAAAACCATCAGGCTGCTTCTGCCAAACTTGACTGTTTTTTGGTGTACTTTGAACTCAACCTTTTTACCAATTTGCCCTCTTACATACTGTTTTCC